AGAAGAAGAAGAAGAATTAGTCCCCACAAGTCCATAATTGTCTCGTGGGCGCAGCGGCTTGAGGCGTCCCTTGTAGCAGATGCAGCTGGTGTCCTCGTGCATTCATGTGAGGCTCAATAAATCCTACCACCCTCTCCATCACCATCATCAATATCAGCTTAATTTCCCTCAACTTTTGTCCCTCTCGCAAGCAAGCACGCACGCACGCACGCACCGAGGCCAACCCCAGCCCTCATCATGTGTTTCTTTCATTACCATCGATCCTCTCTTTAGTTTTTCTATGGGAGGGGGAGAGAGAGAGAGCACATGCGATTACCCTTACCAAAAATACTTTAGTTTATGTCAAACGTTGCCTTGAACCCTTCTTAGCTAGTGTGTTAATTCTATAATGGCCGTGTCATTATTGCCCTCAAGCTTGTTTGTGTGTCATAATTCTTAAGGGTGGATATATAATTAATAATAATATATAAAATATAGAAAGCCATGACTTTTGGGGCTAGCTAGGGTGTATTAACTAATCTACCTCTTTAATTTTCAAAAATCTCTCTCTTTGACTGTAGTTGTGTTGATCAAATAACATGGATTATGGAATTAATTACAAGTTTATTGATTGCAAATGTAATTAATCTATTGTTAAGCTCCATTACTTCTTTACCTTCTTTAAACTACCTAATTTATCATACAATACTATCTTTTTAGAATTGTTTAGAATTAATTATAATTATGATTACTTTTTAAAATATTTTTTATTTAAAAATTTATTAAAATAATATTTTTTATTTTTTAAAAGTTATTTTTAATATCAGAGTATCAAAATAATTTAAAAACATTGAAAAAATATTAAATTAAAACAAAAAAATAAATTAATCATTATACAATATTGTTAATTTATTTTATTGAATTAATTAGACCCCCCCCCCCTCTCTCTCGTTTGATTTGCTGATTGCTGGTTCCTTTTAAAAAACTCTTCAAGATCTATTTGGAATCTTTAAGAACATGTATGGTGGGATATATTTCTAAATCCTTTTGAAAAGGCTGGATCGAGTTTAGGACTTATATTTCATGAGGGGGGAGAAAGAAATGATTCGGAGGCTAGCTGGGAACCTAATCTTGTTTGATAGTTGCGGACGCTGGCTTGATTTCGGTACTCTCATAAAGTAAGTTGGATATTCGTAGTGACCACATCCTCTTTCGAACTTATTCTATGTCGGCATGTGAATATCTTTTTCCAACAAATTGGAGAATATGCTTCATTTTTTGAGTTCCTAGCAAACAATAGAAAGCAAATTAAATGAAATCCATGGCGACCTTTTACCAAAAATGTGGTCCTAAGATTTGTTCCCTAATCAATTATTTAAAAAGAGGAGGTCAGGCCCGCGATAAATACAAACCCGAGTGATGAAGCTCTTCTGAACATTCAAGTTTGCAACTTCCATCTCTTTTCAAATTCAAATAAATCATAGGGCTCATTTCTCCATTGAACCCTAAAGAAAGGACTAAATTCAAATAATCTATCTTGGCTCTAAAAGTTTAGTTGCTTTACTAACTTAATCATTATAGGATCCCACAATTTTATTTTAATTAACTCAATTAATTAAATTCTTAATTTACTTTCTAGAAGTAATTGTTTTGAATCC